AAAAAGAATTAATGTTTAGAATCCATCCATAGGGCTCTATGCATCTCTAACCTGTTTCTCTTAAAACATAAACCTGTTTTATGTATGCACACTCAATCAAGGAAAGCTTGACTTTACAGAAAAAGCAGACAGTCCCCAAATCACTACAGTTTAATGCATACAAGCATATTCCTCATTCAACAGGAACACTGCAAGACTAGTTGCTCTTTTGGACAACTTTCTTTGAAGTTATGAAGGGGACCCAGGGACCCTCACTACTTGTATTTCAAGGAGATGCCACTGCCAACATGTGCCTCCCAGTGTTCCTGGGGCAGAGCAGCATGTGGCAAGTTCACTTTGACATTCTGCAGACTGGAAGTTCATGTCCCTGCCACTCACAGCACCCAGCCAGAACTGTTCATTGACCTGGAAATCGTGGGTGGGCACTGGGATATGGGGGAAGCTCAGAGGTTATCAGCGAGTTACAAATGTCTTAAATTCAGTGAGGATCCAACATATTTTATATACATATTGTCCTCTTGGTAGAATTTCAGCTCCCACACACCACCACCACCACCACCACCTCTACTACAAGACTGATGCGAATACATTTACCTTTGCCTTATACTTTATAAACGCAGGTGAAAATTTCCCTGGGATGTGCTAGTGGGTTGAATCTCAGCTCCAGAGAGGATATGTCCACAACCTAATTTCTAGAACTTGTGAGTAATACCTTCTTTGGGAAAATATCTCTACAATTTTGTTAAAGACCTTAAGACCTTTTTTTTTTTTAAATTTTTTTTTATTAGTGAAACACCATGAGGTACAGTTGTAGATTTACAAATTTTTGTGCTTGGGTTTGATTATACAATGATCAGATACCCATCCCTCCACCAGTGCCCATTTTCCACCACCATGGATAATATCCCCCCACCCCCATCCCCTCATCCCCCCCCCCCGCCTCTGTGGCAGGGCAATCCCCTGTGTTCTCTCTCTCCTTTTGGGTGTTGTGGTCTGCAAAAGAGGCATTGAGTGGCAAACATGTTCAGTCCATAGTCCACTTTCGACATGCATCTCCCCTCCTGGGAGGATCCTCCAAACACCCTTTATTTGGTGTTCCCTTCTCTATCTGAGCTGCCCTTTCCTCTAGAATGCCCGACTGGCCACTAAGCTGTGGAGTAATCCTCCTGGTGCTGATCTCAGCTATTCTTGGGTATTAATCTCATATTTTGTTACTTTATGTCCCCCAGATGAATGCAATCTTTCTATGTCTATCCCTCTCTTTCTGACTCATTTCGCTTAGCACGATACTTTCCATGTTGTACCACTTGTATGTAAATTTCATGACTTCATCTTTTCTAACAGCTACATAGTACTCCATTGTGTAGATGTACCAAAGTTTCTTTAACCAGTCATCTGTTCTTGGGCATTCCGGTTTCTTCCAGTTTCTGGCTATTGTAAAGAGTGCTGCAATGAACAAACAAGTGCAGATGTCACTTCGACTATACATTTTTGCCTCTCTGGGATATATTCCCAGGAGTGGTATTGCTGGGTCAAATGGGAGCTCAATTTCTAATTTTTTGAGAATCGTCCATACTGTTTTCCAGAAGGGCTGAACCAGTGGACATTCCCACCAACAGTGAAGGAGTGTCCCTTTCTCGCCACATCCACGCCAGCATCGGTTGCTTTTGTTCTTTTGAATGTGGGCCAGTCTCTGAGGTGTGAGATGGTATCTCATTGTGGTTTTGATCTGCATCTCCCTGATGATTAATGATGTAGAGCATTTTCTCATGTGCCTTTTTGCCATTCGGATTTCTTCTTTGAGAAAGTTTCTGTTCATCTCATTGCCCCATTTTTGGATGGGGTTGGATGTTTTCTTCTTGTGGAGTTTAACCAGTATTTTGTATATCCTGGATATCAACCCCTTGTGTATTCGGCGAATATCCTTTCCCATTCTGTAGACTGTCTTCGTATTTTGGTCACTGTTTCTTTTGAGGTGCAGAAGCTTCTTAGTTTAAGATAGTCCCATTTATCTATCTCTGTTTTCACTTGCTCAGACAGTGGCGTGGCATCTTTGAAGATACCATTAGCTTCAATGTCATGGAGGGTTTTGCCAACTTTGAAAGACCTTAAGACCTTTAAGGTGATCTTATCATGGATTAAACAAGTAGTACCAAAGTGACAAGTATCTTATGAGTAACAGAGAAGACACAAAGAGAAGGCTTTGAAAGATGAGACAGAGATTAGATTTTTCTTTAGCCAGAGCCAAAGAACACAAGGAAGGGAAAGAAGGAAGGGAGGAAGAGATGGACGGGAGGGGAAGAGGGAAGGGAGGGAGAGATGGAAGGCAGGCGGAAGGATTCTCTCATAAAGCTCTCAGAAGATCACAACCTTGATTTCAGACTTGTAGGCTCCAGAACTGAAATTGGAAAATATTCTATTATTTGAGCCCACTAATTTAATATTATTTTGTAGAGCAGCTTTAGGAACTTGCACAGCTGTTGGTCCCTGGAGGTGGGATGCTGCTATAAACTAGAAGTAACTGTGGAATTTGGTCATGGAAATTAGTTAAAGAGCAGAGTCTGGAAGAATTTCAAGGCACATAGTATTAAAAGTCTAGCTTCTGGTGAGAGCCCTGAATGAAGTCAGGAGCACTGCACTGTAGCACTGCACTGTCCTCCCATTGTTCATCGATTTGCTTGAGCGGGCCCAGTAATGTCTCCATTGTGAGACTTGTTGTTAATGTGTTTGGCATATTGAATACGTCTTGGGTAGCTTGCCAGGATTTGCCGTGCAGGCGAGATACTCTCGGTAGCTTGCCAGGCTCTCCGAGAGGGGCAGAGGAATCAAATCCGGCTTGGCCCAGCCGGCCGAGCGCAAGGCAAACACCCTACCACAGTGCTGTGGGTGAGAAAGTTTCTATGGTTTGGGAGAATACCTGTGTTTCCAGAAACAGAATGTTGCTGAAAACATGAAAAATAAACTTTTTTTTTCCTTTTTGGGTCACACCCAGCAATGCACATAGGTTACTCCTGAGTAACAGAGGTTCACTCAGGAATTACTCCTGGCAGTGCTTGGGGGACCATATGGGATGCTGGGAATGGAACCTGGGTTGGCTGTGTGCAAGGCAAATGCCCTACCGGCTATTGCTCCAGCCCCTGAACATATTTCTTGACAAGAGCTCAGAAGGAAATGAGGAACATGTTATTTGAAACTGGAGGAAAGATAGTTCTTGGTAAATAGTGGCAAAAATATTTTGGCTTAATTATATTTTCTCTGTTGTATGGAAAGTTTAACTTGTAAGATACTTTGCACAGTATCTACAAGTTCTGCTATATATTTTATATATAATATGTATATTTATCTATCTATATGAGCCCAGCAAGCTATCAAGAGTATTCGATATGCCAGACACAGTAACAACAAAGTCTCCAATGGAGACGTTACTGGGCCCGCACGAGCAAATCGACGATCAACGGGAGGGCCTTTACCTTTTTACCTTTATATGTGTCTATATATATATATATATATATATATATATAGAGAGAGAGAGAGAGAGAGAGAGAGAGAGAGAGAGAGAGAGAGAGAAGGGGTTGGGTCATACCCGGTGATGCTCAGGGGTTACTCCTGGCTGCACTCAGGAATTGTTTCTGGCAGTGCTCAGGGGATCATATGTAGCCAGTTCCAAGGAAATGAACCCAGTTGGACCCATGCAAGGGGCTGCTCTACTAGCTGTCCATCCCTGTGAGTTTGTATATTTAGTGCAGGAGACTAAAGGTGTTTCCTGGTTTCCGCTTGCTTATAGTGCAATAGAAGAGGAAAGATAATTAAACAAGGAGATACTGAAATGGTAGCTTGCCAGGCTCTCAGAGAGGGATGGAGGAATCGACCCGGGTCGGCATCGTGCAAGTAAACACCCTCATAGCAAAGCCTGGCAAGCTACCCGTGACACATTCAATATGTTAGAAACAGTAACAACAAATCTCGAAATTTGTTGTGAGATGTTACAGGTGCCCTCCCCAGCAAATCGATGAACAATGGGAGGACAGTGCTACAGTGATACTGAAATGGAACCAGCACTTTGGGGAGATTCTTGATCTATCCATATTACAAAGGATGCTAAAGTTCAGTTGTATAGTAACTATCTCTGAAGGACCCTTTTGTTTAATCACATATTACTGTAACATATATAGGTGGTGCACCAGAGACTTTTATAAAAATACTACCAGCTTGAACTGGAAAGGACAGAGATGGGATGAAACGAGAGAAATCTACTGGATTTTCACTATCTGCAGGCAGGAAATTGGCTGATAGAACTACTCAGTTATAAACATTTGCTATGCCTCAATAAATGGAAGAAAGAGGTGTCACTATAGACCCAAAGTATAGGGCTCCCATGGGCTCAGAAGTTGGCACTACTAGTATAGAATCAGAGTAAGATGCCATGGGCACAGAGTGTGTATGGAGACACAGAGGTTAATCTCAGAACTTGAAATATAATGAAGTTTATTCTTTTAACTCTTGGCACCAGTCACCTCTTTATTCTTTGGAAGGGAAATGTCTATCTTATAATTGTTCCATCATTGTGTCTGGAAGCAGATAGTTTAGTTTTTAGACACTAAGTCCACAGATGCTAAGATTTTTTGCCAGGTGGACTTAAGTCTCACTCATACCTGATTTAGATTCTAGATGAAACTTTTGGAATAGATGATATGTTGAACTTGGTTGACTGAGTTAAACTTAGAGTGTGTGATTGGTTGGATATATTTTGCACGTGGGAAGGTCATACATTTGGGAGGATCAGAAGGGTGACTGTAAAGGATTGTATATTTTCTCCAAATTTTATATATTTGGAATCTGTCAATATAGCTATATTTGGAAATAGAATACTTATAAATATCAGCATTGTTGTTCTGATAATATTCATTGAACTTTAAATCCAGTGATTGGCATGTTTAGAGGAGACAGAAGGAAAGAAAACAATAAGAGAAGTTTTTGAAGTGAAGACGAAATAGTCTGGTGGCTTCCAAGTGCTTACCACAGGCTTCGCGCTTTGCATCTACTGTGTAGAAAGAGGAAACACAGTAATCCCACCCCATACACACCCCGGCCTAAGCCTTTTGCTTGGTCTTTATTGTTAATGGTGAGGCTGGGGTGGGTGTGGGGTGGGGTGGGGGGGAAGAAAAGAAATGAGGACTGAAATAGTGCAGCCAATGAGAATTTAGTGCTATCAGATTCTTAAAAAGAAAAACCTTCGTCCCTAGAAACTTTGGAGGGAGCAAATCCCTGCAGACATTTTTATTTTAGACTTCCAGTCTCCAAAACTGTGAGAGAAAAGATGTGTGTTATTTTAATCCATTGAGTATCTGCTACATTGCTAAGACAGCATTAATGAGCTAGTATATGTGTTTACCCTGGAGAGGTAGTAATTATGACTATTCCTTGACTAATCATATTTCAGATTTATCTTCATACCAGTTGCATTAGCATTAGCTTCTACCACCAGTTCCCATATTTCTGACAACAGTTGGTATTATCCAGCTTTAATTTAAGTAGTCAAATAGGTATTAAAAGTGATGTTTCCTCATTCCTTTAATTGTCTATTTCCCTGATTACCACTGATATTAAATATCCCATGGCACTTGTTGTTAGCTTCGTGGATTCCGTTTTTTGGAAATTGTCTATTAATAGCTTTTGCCGGTTTTCCTATTGGTACTGCTTTCTTCTTCTTAAAGACCCTCAGAAATTCCACATATACTCTACTTCTGTATTTTTGTTTGTTTTGGGTGCCATACTGGCTATGCTCTGGAGTTACTCCCAACTCCATAATTGTGTGTTGCTCCTGGAAGTGCTCAGGGACCACAGGGATCAAACCTGGACTTCTCATGTGTAAAATATGTGCTCTAGCTCTTTTGGGAAGTTCCTTTGAACTTATACTTCTTACACCCTCATTGGTTTTAGACATCTCTTTCCCTAATTTTTTAACTGTCATTTAATCTTGCCCAGTCACTGAACAGAAACTCTTAATTTGTTTTGTATTATCTTTTCATGTGCTAAAGTAGTTTCCTAACCTTATTTACTGACTTTAATGAAGTATGATATGACAATGTCGTATTAGATAATTTGTACCCTATTCTTGTTTTTCAGCTGTTGTACATTATGTTTTTTCAGAACCCAGTTAACTATGCAGTCCTGTGTTTAGCAACTTAGGTCAGAAATGGTAGGCTTTCATCTGTAACAAAAAAACAGTGCAACTAATCAGAAACATTTGAGTTTCTTGAAATCAGTTAAGTAAGGCAGTTCACATATGGCTGTGATATATTGCTGGGTCAGAAATTAAACCTTTATTGTCTGAGTTGTTTAACTCCCAAGTATGTGAATCCTTGAATGATGTGTAAAAGATCTGCATACAAAAATCCAGATTTTTTTTTGGCGGGGGGGTGGGGTGGGGGGCGGATGGTCATACCTGGCAATGCTCAGGGGTTACTCCTGGCTCTGCACTTAAGAATTACTCCTGATGGTGCTCGAGGGACCAAATGCAATGCTCAGGGGACCATATGTGATTCTGGGAATTGAACCACACTCAGCCACGTCCAAGGCAAACGCCCTACCTGCTGTACTATAGCTCCAGCCCCCAACTCCCAACCCCAGATGTTTCTGAAGTTATTGAACACATTAAGAAGGTAGTTTGGGGGGCCAGAGAGATAGAATAGTGAGTAAGGCATTTGCCTTGCATATGGCTGGCCCAGGTTTGATCCTCAGCACTGCATATCCCCTGATCATGGTTAGAAGTGATCCCTGAGAATAGAGCCAAGAATAATCCCTGAGCACTGATGGGTGTGACCATCCCAGAGAAAAATAAGTAGTTTTGGATCTTCACTATTCTATGTTTAGGCCTCACACTGGTTTTTCACCGGCTCCTTTGTCTACATTCTTAGTCTACACTGGTTTCTTGCTGGATCTCAAAGTCCACCGCCATGCTCTTGGTCTATTGCCTTGTTGTCTGTGCCGGGGCTCGGAGGCCTGCCTCTCCAGACACATACTTACTCACCCCCAACTGCAGTTTGGCCCTTGGCTTTGTTTACTTCTCCAGCCTCGTGCACTGCATCAGTACAACTGCTGATTTTCTTTTTTGCCATCTTCTCCTCACAGGTGAGGGGTTTAAAAGGAGCTGCCATCAATAGGGATGCTAAAGTCACCATGCTAAGGACTCTTGTGTCTTTCTTTTTGCTGCTTTGGGGTCACACTCTGTGATTCTCAGGGGTCACTCTTGGCTCTGCAGTCAGGAATCACTTCTAGCAGGGCTTAGGGGACCACGTGGGACACTGGGGATTGAACCGAGAAGGTCAGCCACACGCTATGCAAGCACCCAGCTCGCTGCACTATTGCTCCAGCCTGGGGACTCCTGTGTCTTAATTATTTTCTACTCCAGCCATTTACATGATCTGTTTTTGACTGGCTACTTCTTCCGGAGATTTAAAAGAACCAATGAAATGAACTATATTGCCAGGCACCTCACTGCTGCCCTTAACTTCCATGGCAGCACCAGCGCCACCCCACGGGAACCTCAGAAATCAGCTGAGATGTGAAATGGCAAGTGGCAGACTTTGGCCAGCAGCTTTGATGAGAGTCAGTCCGTCAAATCTGATTGGGGGATTTTGAGAGGTGAGTGTTCCTTGAATCATACAATGTGAGAATTGGAAAGGACCTTGGGGATCATCCAGCTATACCCCCTTGTTTTACTGATGTAGGAACTGAGACCCAGGGAAAAAAAGGGGCTTGTCCAGGTTATGCAGAGGTCAGTGGAAGGCTGAAACTAGAGCCCAGATCTCAAGTCCCATTTTGTGTCTTCATTTTTCTGCCTTACCCAAGAATAGTTCATAAATCATTGTGGGTTTTTTTGTTCATTTGCTTCTTTTGTTTCTGGAAGGGGAGACTTCTTTGAAAAAGTTTAATTAGTTGAAGAGGATTTATTAAGAGCTGGTCCTTAATCTGGGAATTAAGATACCTCCAAAATGTGGGCTCATTCAAGCTCTGATGTATTTTGCCGTTCTAAATTAATCTCTGCCACAATCCTTCACTGTCCCAAGCCCACTATCACCTTTCTTTCTTTCTTTCTTTCTTTCTTTCTTTCTTTCTTTCTTTCTTTCTTTCTTTCTTTTTTTAATTTATTTTTGCTTTCTGGGTCACACCCGGCGATGCACAGGGGTTACTCCTGGCTCTTCACTTCTTCACTCAGAAATTACTCCTAGTGGTGCTCGGGGGACCATATGGGATGCTGGGAATTGAACCTGGGTTGGCCATGTACAAGGGAAATACCCTACCCACTGTGCTATTGCTCTAGCCCCCCCCCCCCCCGCCACTGTTATCTTTAAGCCTTCACTCATGCCATGGTTATATGTGATCTTGCCAAATAATCCAGTTTTACCCTAACTATGTCACCCTTCAGAAACTCATCCTTTGAGGGTTCAGTCTTATGACACTGATGAGCAACATTATTCTGTACCTTCTTTGGGTCAATGACATTGGTAGTCTACAAAAATACAGTATAAACTTGAATATATTCTACCTTGTTTTTCTGGGATGTTGCAATTGAACAACCAAGTTAAGTTTCATATTGCCTTTGCTCCTCCATTGATTTACTAAAAAAGAAAAAGAAGAATTGGTTAAGGCTATTGCTAAGGTACTTCTGTATCTGACATTCTGTCTCCAGAAGATTCTAAACTCCTCAAGTAAAGGGACTCTCTTACACTTCTCTCTTAATTTCTTTGTCCAGTAGTTCCCAACACTGGACAGTCTTGCTCTCCAGGGATATTTAACAGCATTTAGAGATTATGTTTAGTTGTCAAATTTTGGGAATAGGGTGCTGTTGGCATGAAATAGATGACAGTAAATCTCTTACGGTGCATACAACACCTCGCTTCAACCCAGCTCTGCAAACAGAGTATCCAGCTCAAAATTTCGGGCAACATTTTTGGCATATAATAGATACTGAATTAGCATGCTCATTATTCAGTCAAAGAGAATTGCTCTCATAAAAGAGATAATGATTCTCAGCTAAGTGCTGTCATGAAGGGGCAGGAAAAGGAAGTAACACTTATAAAAACTAGTGCCTAGAGATGAGCTCTGATTTTTCTTGATCAAGAGGAGGGCTGAGAGCAAAAATGTATTAGGTGGATGGATGAAAACTCAGAATTGAGAACTAAGAGGTGTTGATTTAAATAGTTCACCTAGACATGTTTGAAGGAATTGCTTGTGATTGTGGCAGATAGTCATAGTGATAACACTGGAACACATGATGGAAACTTCTGGGAAGTATCATTTATGTTTTCAAGAAAAATCATTTATAATATCCTCCTGATTATCTTCCTAGTAATAAAGACTGACTAATGAAAGTGGTTTAAATCAGTAGGGAAGGCAATTAATGGTTCCCTGATGCTGTACTCCCATACCTACCGCTTCCCCCGCAAAATCTCTTGTTTCTTTTGCCAGACACTGACTAAGCATTTTCTCAGGCTAAGACTAATGGGTAAATAAATCCTTTTTGATGAATCTTCTCAGTCTATGCCCTGGATTTTCTCCAGATATTTTCTCTTATCCTATCATGTCCATCTTTCTTTTTTCTATTTTTGGTTGATATATTCAGATAAGTCAAATCATTGATTCTATGTTTCTATTCTCCTTGTCTTTACCTGATAAGTATAATAGGAAATATCTCAGGCACACAAAATATAAAGTTTCTTTCAAAAGTTGGTATTGCAAGGAAGTTTCATGATATAAAAATTCTCTTGAGATGGGCATCGTTATTTTCAATCTCTTGCAGAAGATTGCTTTGTTCTCCTGGCTACTGTAGTTATTTGGCACAGTTTCTGTTTAGATTTATTGGGTGGGGAGGTGGGGAGAAATGCTTAAGTTTAATAACAAAATTCATGAGAATATTTCAGTTCCTTGTAAACTCCTCAAATCACAATTACTTCAAATGAAGTGTCATTTGAGGCTCCATATTGAGGAAAAATTCTCTTGAGTGGGGACTTCCCACAGTTCATTTCAGAACATCTCCAGTGTACGGTCCAGTGAACTATGTCAGTAATAGTCATGAACTTTTTAGGGGTGAGCTCCCTCTCTGCTGCATAGGATTATAAATTCAGTCCAAA